GCCTAGTAGCTCATTAATTATGTATGAGTTTTTTAAAAATATAATAAGGGTATATTTATCATTTTRAGGCACCGTTACGAGCCATCTACTTGTTATGGACATACATTTTGGGTCCCTGGTTCTTTGCTGAAGCACCTGAAGCTGAAATAGACCCAAAYAAGCAGAAAAAGATGGAGCGTAAAATGAAGAGAGCTGGGATGATGCAGTAGATTTGATTGCTAACCCGGAGTGTATTTATTTGGAAAGTTATGAAATTCAAAGCTTACAGCTATATGCATACGTTATTCATTTGAAACAGGTTGCATATCATGGATTGCTCGTGTGGAAATGAATAGAAACTACAACTACGGAAAGAACATGAAATGCGAGTGAGTTTCCATCAAAAACTTAGTTGAGCCCCTTCAAATACGAGGCCAAGTGTAATTCCACTTGTCGTTACGTTTATGATAAAGCTTTTCAATACTCACGCAAAATGCACCCAATAGACAGATACAYTGGACATCAGCTTGGTGACTACAGTGATCGATTACTCTTCATGCTTGATATATCTGACTTAAGCGATAAAATGTCCACGAGTGGGTAGAGGAAAAGGCGCGCGATAAGGATAGAGTCGTTTTCGTATGAGTGGGAAACCGATGCTGATGCGATACCGCTACGGTACGGCTACGATACGGATTCCTTCGATCCTTTCTTAAGTTAATCGCAAGAAATAATGATAATCACAACGAAAAAAAGGCTAATTTTCCCAACAAAACATTTAAGTGGTATTGTCAAGCAAGCAGTACAAAAAAATTCAAGCAAGTGTCGGCAAAATTAAAGCAAAAAAAATTAAAGCAAAATTAAAGCAAAATTAAAAGCAAAAAAATAAAAAATAAAAAAAAATAAAAGCAAAAAAGCAAGTGTCGGCAAAATTCAGCAAGTGTCGGCTTCATCCAATCAACAATCAAACTCACGGTACGACAAACTACGGTACATACAAATCAATCCAATCAGGTGTGAGCATAAAAAAATGCCAACAAATCAGAATCCAAGAATACGATACAGCTACGATACAGTTACGGTAAAGACGCGATTCGTTATGGCCGTTTCCTACTCATACGAAATCGCCTCTACACCTTGTGATAATCATATGCACGGAAAAACACAATTCGACAAAAATCTGTGGCAAACCCTGCGACGTGGTTCAAGGTTGAAGTGCTTTTACTCTAAGTCAA